TCTATTACTATATTACTGATATGATATTGGTATTTGTAGATATAAATTATTTTCATTGCGTTCGCATAGTGGACATTCTGAAAGACACCGAGCAGGATACGAAGAATTTCCTTGGATATTACTCATCACGTCGGATGAATGATTGGATGGTTCGTTGCTAGTGTCCTATTTTTCTCACAAAAAAAAGAAATCAGATCAAAGATGGTCTTTTTTTGAAACGCTGCGGGAAAAAATTTGGCTTTTTTTCAGCATTAACTCGAATCTTCATCACTTTTCCCTTCTGTGCTAAAAAAGTCAAGGGTCTCACCACTGGTACTTTGTAAATACTAAACAACCGTCCGCAGGTATACTGTTGATTAACCTCTTTTTCGAGGAAGGCTTGAAAAACAGGGTTTAGGTGATTTGATCCGTTACCTGGCTAAAACCAATCGTTCATCAAAATGGACCTTTGGGGGTTTTTTCTTTTGTTTTTTTAATAGATCCATATCATTTCCCGTAGTCCAGAATCTCCCACGTCTTTTCTATGTGCTTTTTCTACTTGGTAAACCTATTAAAAACAGCGCTCTATCAAACAACTGTTATTTAAGCAAATCGAGCAGCTGTATAAGAAAGGGAACGTATATCTAGCGGAAGCTGCACAGATTTTGCAACGGATGGTTCAGTACGAAATTCCGGCTCTCAAAAAGCAAATTCTGAAAAGTGACCAGATAATTGCGGTAAACTTTCGATTCATTTTTTCGCTCTCGCCCGTTGGTTTTCACTTATTTTCAAACATGTTGCAGGAGTGTGAGAGAAAGGCAAGTGATTACGCAAAACAGGCTGTTGAAGGTAAAAAGCAGTATGAAAAAGAATTATTGAAAATGGGCATTAAAGGTAAAACTTCCGATATTTGTTCAACTATCCATGAGTTTTTTTTCTCCTTTGATACTGTGATCAGCTAAAATCACATGGAATAATTTTTTTTTTCATCATATTCTACCGTTGTTAGGCTGGCAAACTTTCCTTAGTTGCTTTGATCAAAGCGGCGTCACCTTGTGTTTTTAACGTGTTTGTATCCCACTGTTCGTCTAATTGCTTCCTTTTTCCCGGGGAGAAAAGCTAGATGTCCTGCTCCTCGCGCAACTTTTCTGTCGAGGTCCTGCCGCAGTGTTGAGTTAAGACGTATATAACTTAATGGGCCGGAAAATCTTACCTCACTCTTGCCTTCTTTTCTCACGCACTGTTCTTATTTTCTGTATTCAGTCGCGACTTCGACATTTCGGCTTCCAGGGTCAACCTGGATGCCACAGTCGGTTTTTCACCACATTCGTCATTGATACTCTTATGTCTCTCAGCAGTCATCCTAGAAAGTTTATTAGGACTCCCCAAAAATACTAAACTTTAGATACGAAAGCGTAAGAGCCACACTAGGAAGCAACCAGATGACCCTTGATCTGAAAATCACTTTTTTTCCAGGAGTCAACCTACGCCAAGAAATAATAGCGTTATTATCCGATTTGTCGCCATTCCAGCATGAAATTGTAAATTTAATACGGTTGCTGAACGAACCAATGCATTATTACGAGCACTTTCGGAGCTATCAGCATCAGTAGAGTTTTCTTCACACTTATTGTATGCGTATTTTTTGTCGGCTGTTAACTTGCATGAAATAATTATGGACTGAGATTTATTATATTGAAGAAAGTATGTGACAGGTATACAAACAGTGAGTGGTTGGGGATTATGGCTTGAATAAGAGTAACTTGCGTAGAGTAACTTAACCTACTTGTACTCTGTGGAGTGAAAAAAATCACGTGGAATAATTTTTTTTTTCCGTCAAAACCCTCCATCAGCTTGGTTCTAAGCAATGTGGGAGCGAAGATAGCCTTGCCAGCAAGTGATTACTGTTAGAACACTTCCAGTTACCTTCGCCTCTCACAGAAAGTGAAGCGGTTTTCAATTGGTTGATGTATTTTGAAGTTTTTTTAACCCTTTCGTTTCGGACTGAATTTTCTTTTTTAGAGGCCGAGAGCCAGCCGTAGAATTGCTTCCGCTGTGCCGTTTGCTGATGGCAAGAGGTGCGGAAGTGACAGTCTACGAATGGAAAAACGGATCGGAACCTACACGCATCGAGAAACCGTCTTTGGAAGTTCTGGCCCGTGACGAGGTATCTGTCCGGTTTTTATAAGTTTCTTTTGCGTTTTAAAAAAGTTTTGTAATTTTTATGATTTTGAAAAGGTCAGGATCAGTTTTCTTCCTCTTCAGTATTTCGATCATCTGTCTTTTTTCACGCCACAGCTCATTTTTGTGCGCTATCAATACATCGGGCAGTCTTTTTTGTAGTCGCTCTACGGGAACTAAAAAATCTTGTCATCAGTCAGTCTGTTGAGTATTTTTATTCAATCTGCATATCGATATGCTTGCATTTTGATGAGGGAAATGTTCTCTCTGGATACTGAGAAAAAGCTTACAGGTAAAAGACGCTGATGATGAAATTGATTTTGGCGATGATCCGATATCTTACAAAGATGAAATCGATTTTGGTGACAGCGATTTGATGATTGAAGTTGTAGGCGATGAGAAAGGTGATCTTTGATGCTGTGTTTTCATGGGATTCATGAGATTTTGAACGGGCATATATCTCGAACGAGCCAGCTGTGAAGAGGAACTTGTTTTATTTCAATAATTCTTTCAATTCTGTGTGGTTGCATCCCAGTAATATCACTAACATCGGAATTCCGCTCTGCTTAGTCGATCGATCTTTATCATTCTTAGTAAATCTTTCATTGATGCTGAAAATCTTTGTTCACAGGTGCTGCTGACGATGGTGTAGCTCGTGATTCGGATGCATTAACGGTGCTGGAAAATCCGGACACCCGACAGCTTGTGTATTTCGAATTGAGAGAAGTAAATATTTCCTTTGAACAGAGATTTTTGTATCCCGAGGGATGGCTTTTGCTAAAAATTGTACTTTCTGAAAAATTGCTTCTCATTGTTACGGTCTTCTTACTACCAGCACAGTTCTGCTCGCTACCGAGCTTGACACATCAACTTATCTTCTGCTAGAGACTTTTTATGAATCTTTCTATTCCAATTTACGCTTACAATATATGTGTGTATGCGTGTGCATGTTTGCGTGTTTGTGCGTGTGTCCATTTAATACATACATACTTACATACATACACACGTACATAAATACATACGTACATACATACATAGATACATACATACATACGTACATACATACATACATACATACATACATACATACATACATACATACAT